ATAAATTTTAAATTAATGAAGAATTTTTAAAGAACATTGCTGTACCTTGAGTACTAACGCAGAAATAAGGTTCTTCGAAAAACTTTACCTGGTTCTTCAAAAAGCCTTACTAAAAGGTTTATCCGAAGAACCTTTTTAAAAGGTCTTTGAAGAACTTCTACGGATACTTCATCAACGCAAACGTTAAAAACCCTTTAAGGTTCTTTGAAGTACATTTACAATTTAGTTATGATTTTAAATTAGTTATGTTTTTAAATTGAAATCTTTGATGAAAGCAATATTTTGTATTATTTTTATTTTATACTGTTCGATTTGTCTTGTTTAGGCGTTTATTAATTAAATTTTTTTTATAAATTTGTTATAATAAGTGTTTAACTCGTTATAATGAAACTTTTTATTAAAACCATCAGTTATTAGGTCACATCCCTTATTAGGTTACATACAAAACTAGAGAGTTTTACGATATATTATTATATTTAAGATGATTTTGGATTTCTAAAAAAAATCTTGTGAATAAAATTTCTAAAGTATAATTTCTCAGTATGAATACAGGAAGTTGGTCATTAAAAACATGAACTAAAGGAGGTTTTAGTTTTATAGATTCTCTGTGTTGTTCTGTATTGTATTGTTGAAGGTGGTAGAATTACCCCACCTTACCCTTACACCTTACCACCTTACCCTTTAACTTATCTAAAAATAGCAACCTACGAAATGAAATGTGTTAGCAAGAAAAGATTATTCTCGTTATAAAAAAAGAAAAATTAAAATTGTGCACACAACTGGTGTTAAAAAACCTTTTTCTGCGACTAAGTAGTGCCAGTTAGCTACTAAGTAATGAGCAGCGAGTTACTAAGTAATGAGCAATGAGCTACTAAGTAGTGAGCAGGATGAGAGTTGAACTGACTATTCAAATTTGAGTTTAGAATTAAAAGAAAAATGTTAACACTCAGTAGTGTACGAGAAAAAATTAAAGTGCAAATGGTTAGAGCAACAAAAAAGTTTAAGACGAAAAGTAGAATCTTGAAAAATATTTGAAGTTTTATGAGCACATGTCATTTAGCAACAATTTTCTAATGAAAAAAGACTTAATATGTTCAAAAAATGTGCATATAAATTTAGTGTTAGTTAATTTAAAGGAACATTTTGTTGAGTAAAGGAACAAAATGGAATTAAAGATGGATTTTCTTATATAACATAACTATATATAGCTTTAAGTTAATTCTTACAAGTAGTGTAACGGTAAAGTTGGAATATAAGTGTTTTAAAAATGGTTTGCATAAAAGATGTCTAAAGAATGTATGCTTCATATGCTAATTAAATGTATAGGAATTAAAATTTTAAAAGTTTATCTAAAAAAGCAGTTAAAAATTGTAAATCTAATGATACTATAACTTTTTAAACTATGAAACAATTAAAATGGTGGAAACTATGGAGCTCTTTCTATTGTCAGCAGAGGCTTGATAGATGAATTATTTTCAAAAGTATTAGTTTAATGAATGATTATTTCTAAACACTTATGCGACTATTAATTAATTGCAACAATCAGAAAATAAACTAAGTTCAAATTAGCTGATCATTTTTATTTCCTTTTTGCAAACTATCGTCGTAAATAAAAATAATATGCTTAGGGATTTTTTTAAGAAAACAAACATTTTTTTTAAATAAATTTATAGAGCATTAAAATAACAAGTATGTATAATATAATACAATTATAATGTCCAAGACATAATATAATAATATAATATATATTTCGCCATAAAGAAAATATTTACAAAATTAGACTTTAAAAACTGTATATACACGGCTGGGGCAAGAAGAAGACAAATTCAGTCTTATCGCCAAGCCCCTTCAAACAAGAATACAAGTAACAAACAAAACAAAAAACCAAAAAAAATCCGTTATCACAATATAATATATGCGTAAGGTACATATGTAAATACAAATATCTAAATATTTTTCATTAAAATTTAATATTTTTTTTTAGTTTTTTTTTATTTTATTAGGATTTCAAATTTTAATAGTAAATAAAAATGAGATAAAACATGATAATTTAAGAAGGTAAAGATTCAAATTAAAATCAAAAATTAATATGTTAAAAATAAATTAAATATCAAGTAAAAAACAAGTGATTACTCCTATTTAAAAGTTTCAAAAGAAGTCAAGTTCATTGTCAATTATTAAGAGTTTACTTTTTATTTTTTTTTTTATATTGATCAAGGGAAGAAATTTTTTTAAACTCATTATCCAATAGGGTGTTCCATAATATAGTTCTCTGATTGCTATCGAGAACCAAGTCGCAGAATAATATTTTTTTGGTTGAATATAATTGTTGTTTGAAAATCTTGTTGGGTATAAATGATTTATTTTTTCGAAAAATGAATTAAATAAAATGAGTGTCATTTTATTATCTACTTTGAACATAAATATAAAAATATGATATAGGTTAAGTTGAAATACGTTAAGTATTTTGAATTTATTAAAAAGTAATTTAGTGTGCGAAAAGCGATTCACATTTCCAATAATTCTTAGAGCGTGTTTTTGTTTAATTAGAAGCCCTTTATTTTTAGATACATTAATGCTGCACCAAGCAACGTTAGCGTAACTTAGATAGCAATAAATAAAAGAAAAGTAAATAAGTTTCAAACAAGTTTGGTTCAACAACTGTTTAGCTTTGTATAAAAATAATAAAATATAACAATAAAAATAAGAAAGTCAATGAAAAAAGTAAGGATCAAGCTCATAAACAAAATTAAGCTTATGGATAAACTTATGGATAAAGCAACATGATTCATTAATGAATTTATAGAGCATTAAAATGACAAATATTGTACAAAATATAATACAAAAAGTATAGTTTACAAGACATATAGTATACAATATTACATAAATGATACGTATTCGTATCAAGAAAATCCAGTAAACTTTTGGATCAAACTTTTACCGTTTTTTAAAGCTTTCACAGATTTTCCGATGATTGATTTATATGCAATGATCGACACTCTATTGCTTGAGTATTCTAATACCGCTCTTCTCAGTAGCCCTCCATGGTTTGATCTGTCCTAAATTTTAATTTACCTTTAACTTCTTAACATACATTTAGCAATGTATGTTAAGAAGTTAAAGGTAAATTAAAATTTGAAAATAATTTTTAAGAAAAGTTTGATATAATAAATTTTAGGAAAGTTAATTATTGAATATGATGTAGAAATAAACATAAAAACATTATTTATAAATACTATGTCATAGACATACTAGCTATTTATTTTTTACTTTGATTTAAGAGACAAAAGAGATGTCATAGACATACTAGCTATTTATTTTTTACTTTTGATTTAAAAGAAATTTTTATTGTTATTTTCTTAAACAATATTAGAATGCCATTAGGTGTATTTGCTGAGCAATGTTCCGAATCTGTTCATCACAACATGCTAAAAACTCTGAGTACATTCGCAACATCTGAATCCAATCAATAAGTGCTTTGGGACGAAACTTCATAAGGATTATGCAGATGTCATTGCACAATGACATCTGCATAACCCTCATAAAGTTTCATACAAAAGCATTTATTGACAACTAAAATGTCATGGTTAATGTTGAAGTTTAATCATATAATTTAAAGTTATGTTTTAAATTGAAAAAAATGGTTCATACAATCAATCTATATGTGTGTGTATGTGTGAGGTGCGTGTGTATGTATAAATCACCTATAGAAAATGATTCTAACAGTTCAACAACTAGATGATAAGAATGATAATGGTCAAAAATATGCTGTTCCAAATCAGGCAAAAGCTTTTGAATTTAGTTAGCATTTGTACCGTCTAAGCCACCTCCATTATATCCATGCCAAATTATCCCATAGTTATTTAGCCATACAGCAATTTCAGGTTATTTACATAAAACATTAGAAATCTCTGTAACAATCTTCATCAGCAAATGAAGTTCTGGTGGACGAACTATATCATGTGTATCTTCAGCTACATCAAGCAGACATGGATGTAGGATATTTTTGTAGATCTGCATAGAACATTTCTTAGATCTATTTTCAGCAAAGCTTCCATTCAGCAACTTTAACTTATTGAAAGTTCTTAATTCTCCCAGATTTGACTTTTCACCATTGCAATATAAACAAGAGTATTTTCCTCCATGTCCTGATAAGCCTAATATTAAATTTAGCAGTTTAAGAACTGCTGCTATATAGAACTTATGTCTGTTGAGCATTAATTTCTCGATAATTATCTGATGGTTTGCATGATTTTTTACTAACATTTTTGACAAATGCTAATACCAAAACCTTATCAACACCCTTATTAAACCTTATTAACACCATATCTGTTTCTATATTAAAAACATTCATAACAAATTTTTAGGATCCTTGACCACCATCTATTCCAACACGAACAGTAATTTTATCTATTGCTAGTCACTTAACAGTGAAAATATGTTAAACAAGTGATTTGGAATCTTTCACATACACTAAATCTTTATTTACAGTATGTAGGATTTTTTTATTTCCAATATTTTTCTTAGCTGTAAACTCCACTTTTTCTACTGCGTAATAATCATCAAGATTACATGACTGTAATGTTTCGTCTTTATATTTATTATAAAGAGAATTCGACTATAATTTTTATTTAATATTTATTTCAATATTTTTATATTAAATTACCACAACTAGTTTAAACATAAAACTTTGTATAGTTTCACGTCGAAACTTCAACTGTAATTTAATTTAGCGCACTGGCTTTTAAGCGAGAATTCCTCTTGCGGAATTCTTTCAAAGGAATACTTTCGTTATAAGTTTTTGTGCAATTCGCAAAAGGGAATTTATAGTTTTTCAATCGCTAATTGCTATTCTGAATTGTTTTGTGTAACAATAATTACACCTTCCTTCTTTTAAAAATGCATTTCGTAATCAATGTAACGTTTTGGCTTCCTCGAAATTCTTCCTGATCGCGTGACAATGTCATGGTCTAATGATTCATTTTGATTTGAATTTGTATCTATGTTTGTGTTATTCGACAGTTTTCTTTTACCATGAATATGTCTTTTGATTCATTCATATCGCTTTCATTGTCGGATAAATTGACATCCCAATATACTTCTTCTTTTGTTTTTAGTAGATGTCGTCTGTTTCTTCTAACAATATTTCCATTTAAGGTTTTTACATTGAAACTTCGTTGCTGTTTGCTCTCAACAATTTTTCCTGGCTGCCATCTATTTCCATCATGTATACGAACACAGTCTCCATCGCTTACGTTTTCCAATATTTTTGCGTTTTTCTCATAATATTTCTTCTGTAAGTTTTGAACTTTTTCACGATTCTTCTTTACAAATTTATTTACATCGATTGGATTTACTTGAAGTAGTGACAGAGAAGTAGGAAGTGTTGATCTCAATCTTCTTCCACTTATGAGCTGAGCAAGTGACGCAAGACCGTCAACAGGAGTGTTTTTTACTTCTAGTAGAGCTATGTACTGATCTTGAATTGACCTTTTTGCTTTGTTTAGCAAGTTTTTTGCTATTTGCACGTGTCTCTCAGCCATTCCATTTGATTGTTGATACTGACGACTACTAGTTATATGTTTAAACTCCCACTCTTTACTGAATTTTTGGGATTCTGAAGATGTGAATTTTGTGCCGTTGTCGCTCTGTACAATCTGCGGTATACCAAGTCTGGAGAAGATCATTTATAGTTTTTTTTATCACTGTTTGAGATTGAATGTTATGTAGTTGATGCATGTAAACTCAACTGTGGCTATACCAATTCAACTTAGATTGGAGTTGACATTTTAAATTAAATTAAATTATAGTAGATTAATAAAGGCTACGCTACGTTTACTGCTTTATCAACCGTGATAAAGTCACGATAGAATGGATACGTTACTAATTACTAATGAAGTTTTCTAAATTATATTTTTATCAAAAGTTAAATATTTTAAGAAGTTATTTATCGGTTTAAATCGCTGTTAATTTGTACAACTTTACGTGGAACAATAGAAGCGCAAGAAGTAATATATGTTCACTCCACTTCTTCTATATCTGCTTAAGTCAATGGATGTGTGTAACTAAACTGCGACTACGGCTATATCAGTCATTTTATGTACGCATTTATGTACCTATTCTGTAAATTCTTTGAAAAATATAACCTATAAGTAAATATACTTATAATAAACAATATTAATAGTTAAAACAAATAAAGCTACTTCAAAATAAAACATCAAAATAAAATAAAAACTTTAAGGAGGAATTAAACTCGCCTCATAGTTACCCACGCTTCTTAATTAGATTTTTAATCCACGGCTCTACATAAATACTAAAAAATTAAAAAACATAATTTTTTTTGCGCACAAATAATACCTTTACTGAAAGTTTATTATTTGTAGGTCCGTACAAATAACGACGTTCAAAGTAATATTAAATAATAATAATTAAAATTTATATGTATTGAAATATATTAATTAGTTAACTAAAAGCAGCAAGGAAAATTTAAATTATTATGATATTAACTTAAAACTAATGGTATAATATCAAGTCAAAAAATGCGTGACTTAATTTATGGAGAAGCCCTTATGAAGATGTGCTTTGCTGACGTTGAAAGAAAATTTTAAAATAATTAAAAAAAAAATTAAAAAAGCTGTCAAAAAAGTAACGTGGTATTGTCATATTTTTTCAATCTTAATAACATTCTCTGAAGACGCGGAGGAGTGTTTGCTAACGACTTCTTCATAATATTTTCCAACGGTTCATGATCACTGTTAACAGTTACTTTTTTTCCATATATATTTTGGTGAAATCGCTCACACCCAAAAAGTACTGCGAGAAGTTCTTTTTCAATGATTGCATAATTTTATTGAGCTGGTGTCATTGACCTTGATGCAAATGCAATTGGTTTTTCATTTTGAAGAAGTGCTGCTCCAACACCAGTTTTGCATGCGTCTAGAATATCAAAGAATGTAAGACATTGTTCCAAACATAGCAGCTTTTTAATTTTTCTGAAGGATCGATCTTGTGCTTTGCCCAATTAAATGTGTGTTCCTTTTTTAATTAGATTTTGAAATGGTTCCGTTGTTTCTGATAAGTTAGGTAGGAATTTACCAACATAGTTTACCATACCTAGAAATCTATGAACGTCTTTTTTATCTTCAGGTTTTGGGATTTCATTGATGGCTTTAATTTTTAATTCATCTGGTTGTACTCCGTTTATTGATAACTTGTGTCCTAAGTATATCAACTCTTGTGTTCGAAATCGGTATTTTTCAATATTTAGGGTCATTCCCATTGTTTCAGCTCGATCTAGGCATTTTATTAGATTTTCATCGTGACATTTTTTGTGCCCCATATTAGAATATCATCAATATCAGTTTCCACAAAATGAAGATCATCAAAACATTAATTCTTTTATGAAATACATCCTGAGCCGAATGAATACCATAAGGTAAACGTGTGAATCTAAATCTTACAAATGGTGTATTCATCGTGGTTAACATAGAGCTACCTTTATCCAGTGGAATTAGCCAATAACCTTTATTTGCGTCTAGTTTTGTGAAATTATTTGCACCATAATGTCTAGTTGATATTTCTTCAAAAGTAGATAACTGATAATATTTTCTTTTTATAGCTTTATTTAAGTCTCTTGGATCCAGACAGAGTCTTAGTTGTCCATTTGGTTTTTCCACAACCACTAGCGAATTTACCCATTCTGTTGGTTCATCTACTCTTGTTTTACTCCTGTTTTTTCCGTTTCATACAATTCTGTTTTTATTTTTTCTCTCAAGGTACCAGGAATTTTTCTTGGTGGATGAATAACAGGATTTGAGTCATTCTTCAACACGATGTGATGTTCAGGTCCAATCACGCCTAATCCGTTGAATAATTTCGGATACATTTTTAGTATTTCTTCTTTTAGTTCTTTTCATTGTTTTCCTTCAATCCGTTTAACTTTGTTTAGAGTAGATATTTCTTTTTGCTGCGACTTAGCTTCGTTCGTGTCTACAGTTTTTACTTCATCTAGTAGTTTGATAGCTTTTAAGTCTTGTGAAGTTTGTAAGCTAAGAACGAGTTTGCTTGTTGTTTCAACTACATAGAATTTAACCAACTTTTTACTACTTTTGTAGTAACACATCATATTTGATGTTCCAAGCACTGGAATATGATTTCCTCCATAACCACGTAGTTTAATAATTGTATAAGTGAGATTATCACGTGATTTTAGTTGGTCGAAGACTCTATTTGGCATAACATCAACTTCAGTTCTAGCGTCAATTTTCCACGTACCAATTTATTATTAATTTTAAAGATTATCAAAGCTTCATTTTTACTATTCATTTCACCCGATGATACAGATTCCACATGGTATTCTACAGCGCAATTTTTCGTGTATATTTTTCGAGTTGCAGCAAGTTGCCCAATGATTTTTTTTATTACATTTACGGCACGTTTAACCGAATGCAGGACAGTTTCTTGGTTTATGTTTTCTGTTGCCATTATTGATTTGTTTCCAGTTTTGTTTGTTTGGTTGAACCCGGTCTTTGCTTTTTGACTCATTTTCGTTATTCGAGAACTTTCTCCATTTTGGTATTTGTCCGATTGACGCATTTGCTTGTATTGGTTTTATGAATTTCTTTACCACGTCAATATCTTTTTTGTATGTAATTTGTTTCATTTCTGCATTTGCAACTTTTTCAGCTCTGCATATGTCAATCGCTTTAGTTAAAGTTAAATCTGCCTTTTTTCTAAGTAGATTATTTTGGACTTTGTTTGATTTGATTCCGTCAGTTATTTTGTATAATATCAGACCATCTTGAATGTTTTCAAACTCTCATGTTTGAGCCAGATTTTTTAAATCAGTTACAAAGAAATCAAATGATTCATTGACGTCTTGTTTTCGTAAGAAAAACTTTCTTCGTTCCAAAACCAGATTTCTTTTTGGTAAACAATATTCTTCGAATCTTTCAAAAAGTTCTTTTACCGTGATGTCATCGATTTCACCGTCGTCGTTTTCCGTTTTGTTCCAAGTCCACGTATTAAATATTTCTCTTCCTTTTTCACCGATCACAAATAAAAATGTCGCGTATTTTTTTTCCTCAGATTTATTTGTCATTGCTGCTTTTAAATACAACTGCATAGTTTGTTTCCAAACTATGCAGTTTTTTTTTTGTTTTTTTACAATATTATATATATGTATTTAGCAATACAAAAACAAAAATTTTTTGTTTTTGCTGCTTTTCGATACAACATTGCTGCTTTTCGATACAACTGCATAGTTTGTTTCCATTTTTTCTATGTTACTGCTATATTAGATTCATTGAAGTCCATTTCGTTTGGCTTTGGCATAAAGTGTTCCATTTTCTTTTTCTTTTTAAAATAAGTACTTTTCCAAAATCTTTTCTTAAAATGTCTTCAGTTCACTTCTGATACCATGTAATGTTTCGTCTTTATATTTATTATAAAGAGAATTCGACTATGATTTTTATTTAATATTTATTTCAATATTTTCATATTAAATTATCACAACTAGTTTAAATATAAAACTCTGAATAGTTTCACGTCGAAACTTCAACTGTAATTTAATTCAGCGTACTGGCTTTTAAGCGAGAATTCCTCGTGCGGAATTCTCTCAAAGGAAAACTTTCGTTATAAGTTTTTGTGCAATTCACAAAAAGAAATTGCTTGTTTTGCAATCGCTAATTGCTATTCTGAATTGTTTTGTGTAACAATCATTACAATGACTATATATTTATTTTCTTCAAAATGTTAGCTTCCACTTCCAATTTACCCAAATCTTTTCTGAAATCCATTGCATTTGAATTTATTGTAGAATCTGATAGATCGTGCTTTCATTTTTTATTTTATAGAAAGTTTAGCTTGATTTTTTTTTATTGCCCTCTTCTTTATATCCCAACTGTCGACAGTTTCCCCCAATTGAATGTTTTAAACTTGCTGGATTTCTTTGAAAGATTTGGAGAGGATTTGTTTTACTGTTTTTAAACCTAAAATTTGTCATTAGATTTAAAAGAAAGTTTACTTTTATACAGACTAAAATTTATTTATTCTGAGATTATTCTGAGAAAATTCTGTTACCTTTTGAGATTAAAATTAAATTCTGTTACCTTTTGAGATTAAAATTAAATTCTGTTACCTTTTGAGATTAAAATTAAATTCTGTTACCTTTTGAGATTAAAATTAAATTCTGTTACCTTTTGAGATTAAAATTAAATTCTGTTACCTTTTGAGATTAAAATTAAATTCTGTTACCTTTTGAGATTAAAATTAAATTCTGTTACCTTTTGAGATTAAAAACATTCTTAAGTTCTCCACAGTATCTTTCTTAATACAGGAATGTCGAATTCCAACTCCGATTCTTTGATAACAATTAAAACAAATTTTTTTAACAACTTTATTTGATACCTCAGGTTCATTTAAAAAAACACTTAAAATATCCTAAAAAATAGTTTTTTATATTTTATCAGTTATTATTAATGGTAACTGAATTAATTTTAAAACCAATCAAATAAATTATATCTTATATTTTATGCAAATTGATTTTCAACGGTGTACATTACTAAGTTTACATTATAATGTATTACATTTCAAAAGTTATACATTACCTTAAGGTTTATCTTTTTGGATTTATCTCTTGACATAACACATAGTGGACAATCACAGGTTGACTCTGCATCACCTATAA